GAGTCTTGGTTTTAGTGGCTTTGCTAAAGTCGAGACAGATAATGGTGAAAAATTTATGTTTGGTAAAGAGAAAATAAGTGACAAACAAAGATATCCATTAACGCCATTGGTCGTAATTATGGTTGCGATTATTTTGTTAGTTAATTTCAAATTATTGAGATTGGTTAGAAAAAGATCATTACGACTCTTATTTATAACATTTTCATTATCTTCATTATTTTTAATTTTTTTTTCGGTTTCAAGTTTAAATAAGTTGAACTTCCACCAAATGTCTACAGACCTTTCTGAAGTACCCGTAAAACTACCAAATGTAGTAGTGACTTCATTGCCAGGTGCAGGGGCTGAGATCGTCTCACAAATGTTTTACCCAAATCCTGACTTTGTGTACTTAACTGTACCGTCTCCGGCAATACGAAATGTGGAAACTGAACTGCAGATGGATGGTTTTGTGGATGCTTGTACGTGGAAAGATGTGAACGAACCACGGTTTTCGCGCTTGTCAAATTGGCTAAGGACGTTATTGGAAAACCCAGCCACGCTTACTATTGAGAAAACGATTGAGAGTACTGATAATGATAAAAATGGCAATGCAAAGCCTGTAAACGATGAACTAAACTTGTCACCTCTTCAGCCGAGTGACGTCAACTTCAAAGAGTACAACGATAAAATGATGTTGGAACATCTTGAAGAACACCCACATGCGTTACCAGTTTTGCACCTAAGCAGCGGAACTTGGCCTTTGAAGTTGCCATGGTTACATCGTAATTTAGGTGACAATTTGCATAGTCTGTATATTATATGCGATCCAAGATTGTGGATATCCAACATTTTGGCATCTTCTGATTCTAAATCCATCTACAACCATTTGAATTTACAGCAATATCTACAAAATATGTTTGAAGAAATCGATAAAAATACTTTCTGCGGCCCCAATAATGGTTATGTTTGGCATTTTGAACAACTGCGACGCATCTTAAGCAATGCAAACCCTCCACCCCATCGCATTCTGGCTTTTTTATGGTTATCGCATGTGCAAGCGGTCATGGACAATATAAAGACCAAGACAGACAGAGAAATGATTGTAAAATTTGAAAATATTATTAACCATCCTGAAGAGACTCTTAAAGAAGTATACAAGTTCCTAGGTAAGTAATGTGTATTTCACAAACATTTGTCACTTTTTCAGCTCCGCTGTCCACTTTGTTGATCATAGCTTATCATATGAATGATTGACCGTTGTTGTCTATCGTCCATCGTTGTTGTCTGTGTCAACTTTTTACTTTTTCGGCTTCTTCTTAAAAACTACAATTCTTATTGCTTTGATACTTGTTGTATATGTATCTTAGACAGACCTCCCTCTCTTAGATTTGTTCATTTTGTGATGATATCTTTATTTCTCTAATTAGTCCCTGTTCGAACGAAGTCCGAAAACGGGGACTATTAATTTGGGTTCGTTCCGTATGTACGTTCGAAGCTATATTTCGAACATCCATTGATGAATTTCATTCAAACTTTACATAGACAATACATAATGTCTTACATATGCGCATCAAGTTACTTTATGATCGGAGCAAAAATGGTCGACTGGCAGCTATTTTGGATGTAAAATTTGCTATTGCAGAGATGACTGGGCCAATTTGGATCAAAGTTGGTATGATGATCATACATATTGGGTTGTAGGTGCACATCATTTTTTTTTCGTGATTCGAACAAATGTGACCGACTGGCTGCCATCTTGTTTTTCATGGTACCCATGCTACTTTATCTTCAATGCAATGAACGTTTCTGTTTAAAGTTTGTACAAAGATAGTATACCAAGAGATACATCTGCACCAACATGATTTTTGTGATTCAATTCAATATGGCTGGCCAACGCCCAATTTTCATGTAAAGGAGCTAAATCGTCATTCTTACATGTCCGGAGCTGTTTCTCAGAGATGACTGGGCCGATTTGGATCAAACTTGGTATGATGGTCATACATATTTAGTTATACATGCACGACATACTTTTTTATTGTATGTGCTGTACTGTGGAAATAGGCATCTTCTAAATATATAATCCCATGATATGATTACTGCCTGTGTTTCGGCTTGATACAACACTCTGGCAGTAAACACTTGTATCTGTTGATGTCAACGCAAGAGAAAATATTGTAGGATTATGCATAAACATCATCATGAGTTAATTTATATTATGTCTCAAGATAAAGTTATATGGTCCGCAAAACAGCATTTTTGAGTAACTTGTGAATACTCATATTACTGTAAATGTTGAATTTATTATATTATACATATTACTTCACATGCTAAAGGCTTCAAACAAAATTTTCTGAAAATACAACTTTAATGCTACGATGAACAGCTTATTCTTCAACAAATCTCATAAACCCAAACCACTATTCATTCAAATTCATGATGTCTTTCTATAATTTATTTATTCAAGATATGCCAGTACGTCCTATGGTAACACATCAGCTCATACAGGCAGCAAAGACTGGTGCATTTGCTATACCTTATCTCGGAGTGGTGAACCAAGACTCTACACAGCTATGGAAGAAACATCTGTCAACTGACCAAATACAAGATATTGAGCACATCTGCTCATCGTTAATGAAACAGTTCAAATACAAGAAGTGGAAACAGTAAATTGAACAGTGACAACATAGCTGGATATTCATACCTCAACCTGACTGTGGTCTTCGGTAGTTCTTTGAAATCATCTAGTCATGTGATATTGGTTGGTTAATGACAGTCATGTGAAACTAGTTGGTTAATGACTAGTCATATGATACTGGTTGATTGTTGACTAGTCATGTGACATTGCTTGGTTAATGACTAGTCATGTGATACTGGTTGGTTATTGACTAGCAATGTGAAATTGGTTGGTTATTGGCTAGTAATGTGATATTGGTTGATTATTGACTAGTCATGTGACATTGGTTGGTTATTGACTAGTCATTTGATAATGGTTGGTTATTGACTAGTAATGTGATATTGGTTGGTTATTGACTAGTCATGTGACATTGATTGATTAATGATTAGTAATGTGATATTGGTTGATTGTTGACTAGTCATGTAATATTGGTTGGTTATTGACTGGTCATGTGACATTGGTTGGTTAATGACTAGTAATGTAACATTGGTTGATTAATGATTAGTCACGTGATATTGTTAACTAGTAATGTGACATTGCTTGGTTAATGACTAGTCATGTAATATTGGTTGGTTATTGACTAGACATGTAATATTAGTTGCTTATTGACTAGTCATGTGACATTGGTTGGTTAATGACTAGTCATGTAATATTAGTTGCTTATTGACTAGTCATGTGATATTGGTTGGTTAATGACTAGTCATGTGCATTGGTTGGTTATTGACTAGTCGTGTGATATCGGTTAATGACTAGTCATGTGTCATTAGTTGCATATTGACTAGTCATGTGGAAATATTGGTTGTTACCAACTAGTCATGTCACTATGTAGTAGGATTGGTTGGTTAGTTAGTTTAGGTTAATGTGGCAACATTATTGGTTAATGACTAGTAATATAGCAGTTTGAACTGGTTAGTGTAGCAATATTGGTTGGTTAATGACTAGTAATATGGCAGTTTGGGCTAGTTACTGGTTAGTGTAGCAATATTGGTTGGTTAATTGCTTGCAATTCAGCAGTTCTGGTTTGGTAACTCAGTATAATATTAGTTTATAATTGTAATATTAGCTACCGGTAGTTACTTGTAATTGTGGCAATATCACTGATAAACAGTACGACAGTTAGGGCTGGTTAATAATTAGTACTGTAGCAATATTAGTTGGTTACTGACTAGCTATATATTGGTTTAGGCTAGTTAGTTACTAATATTTGTAGCAATATTGATAATACTTGTCTATGTTACTAAATTTTTCAATAAATTAATCAATTAATTTCAAGATATGTGTTTGCAATCAAAGGTGATTTCATTTCTTTTTGTTTTTTGTATTTTTTTCTAAGGAAATAGTTCTTCTATATGATATCCTGTGAATATGTATCATTGTTTTTATGAATTTTGCTAGGAAAAATTTCACTTTTAAAACATCTGACAATATTGTTAATTAAATTTTGTGGGTGTGGTACTAATTTTTAACGACTTAACGAATAAAATAAAGCTAAAGTGTTAGATAACAGAAATTAATAATTGTCTTTCATTTCTATTCACAATATAAATTGTAATTTTAATTCAGTTCATTAATTAAATTTTTTGGGTGTGGTACTAATTTTTAACGAATTATAAATTTTCATGTTTCTTGGGGGACATTTGAATTAAATGAAGTTAGAGTGTTAGTGATAATTAATAACTGTCTTCCATTTCTATTCACTATATATAAATTGTAATTTTAATTGAATAATTATAGATCTTTCATTAATTTATCCACAAATAGGTGTTGGGTAGTGAACTTCACTAAATTATTTAATTTTCAACACAGGAAATAAGTGTTGATTACATTTTAGGAATTAATTTATTACAAGTTTCTATATTTTAGTCTTGTGTTTGTGTTTAATACACAATGGGAACTATGACTTAAATACTGGTGTACTTATTAATATATTTTGAAAATCATATGGTTTTCATATTTCACCAATATTAAAAATGAAGGCAAATAAAAGCCACTTCAATTTTTGAATTACTAGGCTTATTACTTACACAGTCAGCTGACGTTCAAGTAATAATATGAATTAACTTACTGTGTGTGTGTGTGTGTGTGTGTGTGTGTGTGTGTGTGTGTTGGGGGGGTCATAATAATACAAAAATCTAAGAAACATTAAGTACGAATTACATATAAATCCTGATACTTAGTAGAGGCTAAAGAAGTGTGCATGAATGCTTAGCTCAGACTAAACGCTCAAAACACTGTTGTAATCAATGTTCATTTGGAAGCTATACTTTTATATTCATAACTAATCATTTCAGTATGCTTTTTCCGACATGATAATCAACGCGAGCACATCTAGAGATACGTTTTCAAGAACAAAAATGAACTGAAAAATAATGCTACTTCCTGTTATTAATAAAAATAAACTACAAATTTAAAAGTTCTAATAACTACAAAAAATCAGAAAGTAATAAAAATACAGTAAATATATCAAAGTAAAGGTTCTCCCTACACAGGCGGTGCTTTGTATATGGTATTTTATAGATATAGAGACAGAGCAATGTTATTTTTCATAATTTTTAAGAATATTATGTCTTTGTTCTTTTCACTTGAGGTAATTTCGCAGTTTTTCAGGAGGATTTTTCTTTCATTTTCAAAAATTGAGCAGCTCAAAAGAAAATGTTTTTCATCCTCAATATCGCCTTGATCACATTTTTTACAGACTTTCTGCTGCTGGTAGTTTTGGTTTTCTCCTTCTCCCCAGTTCAATTTCCAAAATGTGATCACTAAGACTGAATTTTGATAACATTTCAAGTTCATAGTTTATTTTAAATTGTTTATATGTTTAAATTGTTATTCTGCACTTTGTGAATTTGATTTGGTATTGCTTTATACCATAGAACTAACATGTATACCTTCCTGGTTACTGTACTGAGTAATCATAGTTAACATGACTTAAGATTTTTGTATATTCTTGATATGTTTGGGCGTTCCTTAGCCCGTGCTAACCACTGTTTCCTCCCCTGCGTGAACGCAATTGTTCTATTCAATATGCAAACATAAGAGATTAGCCCTGAATCTTAGCCTGTACTTTGTGTAGCATGAACACTACTGTTGTTCAGCTGTCTAATTACTTCACTGATTGTTGGTTTCAAATATCCCTGGAAAGTGTTCTAATTTCTGAGCAGCGATATTTGAATGTAAAACATTTTTTCCCATTAAAAAATTATTGAATGTGGACAAATTTATGTTTAACTGACAAGTCATCTTTTGACGAGGAAAGGAATCTATATTTTGTATTATTTTGCTTTTTTTTCCCCCAGGATATAGTAAATATTGATAAATTAGTAACAAATATTATTATAGTATCACTTGTACCAGCTGACTATAGTTTTTGATTACTCGTATATGGGCAATGCATTATGGGAGAGATCTTTCTATGAATGTAATTTCACTGATTTTTGGTGATTTGAATGTAAAATATAGGAAAAAAGGTATACTCGCTAGATTTTATTTTCACTGAATCACTCCTTCAGCGAAAATAGTGAAAATTAATTCCAAGCAAAAATAAAGTATTTTACAGTACTATCTACATTTTGAACTCTTGTTTCTTAAAAAAAAAATTGTTCAATTTCGAAAATAATCAAAAACCAGGAAAGACTGATTAACCAACTGTAAATGAGAAGGTAAACGCTCGTTTTTTCAAGAGGCTTTTAGTGCAGTCTTAATAATGCCTCATTAACTAGCAATTGATTCACGCTTTTTTGTTCAGGTTTCGGAGTATGCCATTGCCATAGAAACTATGTAATTAATATTCCTGTGTGCATGTATTCATTACAAGACGTACATGCATGAATTTCTCCAACTATTCAATCTGCATATTGCAAAATAAAGTGCCAATAAAAATAAAAGTTGTATGTAACTTTGAATACATGTTTAATGTTTAAACAATGCCAGTATTTTTTGTACATATTTCATTTGTAAATGTTTTTTAAAAAAAATCTCTAAGTAGTGGTACTTGGAGTCGTATTACTCAGTGACCTTGTGTAGCATGGTTGTTGCCATATTGTGACTGCCATTTTTTCTAAGTTGTTAAATTTTCAGACAAAGGTAAACAGTTACCGTTACCGATTATGTTCACTATGCCTTGGAACATGCGTCAATGGTATTACCTTATGGTACATACTGTTGTGTAATTTTATGACCATATGGACTAAACAATAATGCTGTACAGACAGAATTGTTCAATCGCACGTAGTATGAAAAAATAGGTCTATTTTATATATTACAAATGGTAATGCTTTTAGGAGTTGATAATGTTTCTTATAGCACAGTGTTTACCTGCAAGTTCAGAGTCAAGATCAATCGCATTTCTCCTTGCTAAACAATCCCCATTTTATTTTCGAAAGTTGCTTTAATTATTCCTCCAGATTCAGAGATTCACACCGCACATTTTCGTACACATGACGCCACCATAAGGATCTTTAGAGATGTAGATTTTTAAATGTCTGCTTTTGTTTTGCTGGATGCTACGCTACATCTAGGCTGAATACACACAATGGTTTTTTTATTTGACCACTTCAAAATTTCCCTTATTGTTGTAATTCATTTTTCTAACATGTATAGTAAAAGCATTTCATACTTAGATTTGAAAAAAAGTGGAAATTAGTCTTTTCAACCTCAAACGACAATATGGTGCTCATTCATTGCAGGCAAGAGTTTGAAATGTACAAATGAAATATGTTTTATTAATGTCCATCAGTAATTACTTTTTATTATGTAATTCTAAAAAAAAAAAAAAAAATTGTCTTGTGTAATATTTTATGAGTTCGGATTTCTCAACAGTATTTGTAAATAATTCATAGTAAGTTTCACAATAAATACTTTTTTGGATTAAATGATGTGTATTATAGACATTCAGTGTAATCTGTAAGAATTATTCGATAGTGTGTAGCAGTTTGCTTTTGTGAATTTGTCATAGCAAGGATATAACTGATTCAGGACTGTAAAGTTTCCATGGCACCAGTAAACTAACACATCTCATCCTCATTGATTCCGAGGAGCCATCTTCATGAAAGTGAATGAAACACTATATAAATGAGTTATAAATATAAATGAGTTATAAAATGGATATTTTTTCTGATTTGTATTTTTAATAAAACATCTCATTAGTGCCGATTTTTAACACCCATCACCGAAATGTAAACACTGAAAGCATATAAGCTGTATATCGTTGTTGTTCATCTCTCAAAGATGTGTTGTATATTGTGCCGAATTTTCAGTGGTCCTCATTATGTGACGGATTTCAACAAAATGGTGACTACTTATTTTTCCCATTTTTGTGTAGTTACATTTAAACAAAACACAAATTCAAAACCACAACTATTGAAGCCTCAATGTTAAAAAAAAAAATAATTTAGCCAATAACCAATAAATACCTCATTAAAATTTGATTGATTGAGGTGTCATTAACTTCTTTCCCATGATAGTACATCTCAAATGAGGAGGCACGCCGAGTTTTAAAACAATATGGAGGCTGTGTATGCGCATTAGATGGAAACCTAATATTTTCATGTCGCAACAGAAAATTCTCTTTGCAAGGATACTTCTTTTCATGATGTATTTTCAACTGTGTCAATATTTTATTATGTTTCATCTAATTTTAGTGTGACAAAGGTATAATTTGTGGCTTCCATATGTGAGAAACGTAAACAGAAGGTATTGTACTGATGTCTATATGGTGATGTGTGGCAATATCTCAAGAATTATCCCCTGGCTGCTTAGTCAAGTGAATACTTTCAGATGTATTTCAAATCCTTGTACAAATATATGCATATTAATTAGATAATTTACATAATATCCAGTTTTAGCATATTTCACAAATTGAATTGAAACTTGGTACATGCTTACTGTTTGTAAAGATAAAAGTCTCATAATTTGCATATTAATTAGCTAATTATCCATTTTCATCATTAGTTTGTATTCTAAATTTGCTCAGATGAGTTGAAACTTGCCAAATACATGTTGTATGTGTTTAATATTAGTTATTTTATGTTCATTTGTCTGCAAAATTTGGTTTGAAGCCTTTGACATTGTATAATACATGTACTGTAATACATGCAACAACTATGATATTCACAAAATCACTGAGCAGTTCTGTAGATTTGGTTATGTTCAAGTTTTCAGCATCTCTGCGTGTTATCAAGTTACTAAATCACACAGGATTCGTCTGGGTTTGACAATGGACTATATCATGAAATGAACAACCGATGTGAAACATTTTTCATTAAGATTAATCTGACATGCACATCATTTGGATCAGGTTAGTAGCGTTCTCCAGCAATGCATGATGGGATTTATTGTAGTGAAGATTGATAACTAGGTTGATAAACTGCGCAATGTGCAGGTTTCAATCAGTATAAATCGCAAATAACTTAAAGATTGAAATTTTGGCTAAGTTACTCGAAACTGAAAGTGCTTTCAATCAAGTTTTTTTCAACAATTGTCATTTTATCCAATGTACAGTTTGTTCGAATTAAAGTTTGAGTATATTAATTTGGATTGGACCATGGTACATAAATACTGCTTATGTATTTGAGTGCCTGATAATAACTTATATTGGATACCATATTTACTCTATTAGAAGCGCATCTCCAATAGTAGCGCATATAAACCCCAAATTCAATTCGTTCTATATAGAATAATTAAAATAAAATATTTGACCATGGGCCATATGCATATTAATTAACTACTTTGTATAATAAGACTGGTCTTCAGGGATATGTTTATACATAGATCCTGGAGCCTATGGTGTGTAGTTTATTGTTACAACTTTTATGTGATCATCAGATAGTAAATTTTCTTCACAAATAAGTTTCCTCCAGTCAGCTACTTGGGTTCAAGTGAAGTTGACTTGTAAGTTGCATAACTGTTGAATGCCTAACATTAGTAAGTATTCTCTACATATTAATTAGCTAATTTGCATCCTATCAGCTGGTTTATCAACAATGGTTGAATAATCATAGCTTAGAATTAATTTATAACTGAAATACAACGTAATGGAATGGGGGAACAGACTTCAATGCTGCTTGTTGAGTAAACATTCAATAAATATCGTGAAATCATTTATGGAATTCCTAGTATTCTCAATATTTTGTCCAGGTCATTCTGTGCTCATTGCCAAATAATGTAACTTGATAGCGTTCTAGTTTTCATGAAATCAGTTAGACAACAATTCTGGATAGTTTATTGCTGAACAGAAAAAGAAAGACAACAAATAATGTAAAGCACAAATGGATTTTATTATTTTGGTCCACACAAAAACTTTGAAATCAATTGGTCTGTATTTTTACAGTTATATAACGCCAGTTGTTGTACAGCACACATTTGAATACAAGCATTGTATACATCATGTGGGACTCGTACCGAACATGATGCGATGCGATGTGATGCAGTGAGTGTGACGTTTTAAGTATATGTGCACAAGTAAAAATGTAGAAGAATAATTGGTAAAACCCTTTGAACCCCAATTTTTGTTCCCGTTCAAATTGTTCATTTTTTTTTTCATAATTTTCGATAAATTCAATCTTAATTTTTGGGCTGAACAAACAAAATGTGACATTGCTTCAAATTTTTGATCAAAAAATTTGAAATTGTCATCAACATTTTTTGTAGAAAAGAGCAGACTATATTTGACTATTTCATGAATGGTGAGAAAAGTTGACTTCGGCACTCAGGGAGTTAAAATTGCATTCCTTCTTTGTATTACCGGTATATACAGAACACTTTCCACTGATTATTACCAAAATAAAATCACTTGGTTTGGGAAATCAATCTTGGAGCACTGATGCTAGCCTGTAAAAGATTGTGGTATTTAACTATTCCACCACCAGACTTTCTCTACACCAAATTTTTCTAGACTTTTTTTCTAATATCTCTCAATATTTCTGGAAATGAACCCTAATTTTGGAGCCAACACATGAATGTTGAGTTAATTTTCAGTTTTTACTCAAACAAATGATGAAAAAAAAAGGGAACTGGTGGTGAAAAGGCAGCAAAAAAATTGCTATTGTTGTAATCACTCAAAACAATTTTATTTCAGGAGAGTCTTAAATTCAATTTCATAATTCTGTAAGATAAGATTTATCATGAACTGTACAAACTACACCTTTATGGTACTTACAGGAGTCAGTGAGAAATTTTCTGCAGATCCTACAAAATGGGAATGCTAAAACTATGTGTACTATATAAGGTATCAATATAACTGGGGCAGTAATACAACTATCACTGGGGCAAGGTGGATTCCTGATTCAAAGGACACCCCCCTCTAGAAGAATTTACCTTTCATCAGAGAGATGATATTGTCACATTACATTGAATCACAAAACCAATCCAAACTAATTTTAGAAAATCCATAATTTATGTAATTTTTATATTCTTTAAAAACATTAAAAATTGTAGTAGTATCCAAAATCTTTGACAAAATATGTAAATATTACATTTTTGGACAGAAATATCTGTTTTAAACAAAATGAGACATATTCATTCATTGTACATATATATTTTTGGCTGAACCATACAACACTCAGAATGTCTAAATGTGATCTGTCAGTCAACACACCTACATAAATGGTATGACCCAAAACACATAACACTACATGCAGCTTTACAAAAAATTTGATCTACCAGTATTAACCATTTACAAAACTGAAATGTTGAGAAAAAGGACAATTTCATTCATAAAATATTTTATTTTTTGAGAACAAGTTAGAAAACATCTACCTGTATATAACCTCATCAAATTACAAGTTTCGTATTACCGGTATTAGTCACATCATGGTCACAGGAAGAAATAAATATCCAAATAAATAACTGCTCCTACCATATTGTCAGTAAAACATTTTTTTAATGTTTAGGTGTTTTTACAATTTCTTCGTTAATTTTCGACAAATGGACATAATTTCAAATTAGCTACAGGTCATGATCATATTTTGTAAACAAATTTACAACAAATTATGCTAATTATGTTTATTTCCAGCAATGTGACAAACTTGAAGTGTTTAATGCATGCAAGTCCCTGATAAAATTTGCATTATCATTTATTTACTTGTTAGGACAGAGATTCCATGTTTAATAATAATGCATGTTTCTCAGTTTCTAATCAGTGGAAAGTAAACACGTTATCTCAAATAAAAACTATATGACAACACAACACACGCAGAAACAAGCTCCCATCACTCAGACTTCAAATGTCCCTCGCTGATGTTATCACCTCCTGGTCCAACTTCTGTTTCTATGGGAACATCATCATCATATTCTTCATCTTCATCTTCGTCCATTGCATCTTCGTCGTACGTCTCCGCGGTGCAGATTGTGTAGCACATAAATGTAATCATGATTGAAGGAACGGTGACTATGAGTGTAGTAATAATAGGGTGCTCTAACCAAATACCCTGTGAGAAAAAGTAAAACATTCTATTCATTATGAGTTTATGTTTACAACACAAACAATTGAAATTTACAAATTTTTCATTGGCATAAGGCAAGCTCATCGTGTCCCATCTAAGCTGCTCTATACGGAATAAACAGCAATTACATAACAATATGCAATACACACTCTATATTAGTGAAGATTAAACTTAAACTACAGCTTGTGAAAACCCCCACAAATGATATTGTTAGAATTAGTAGATGCAGATAGAAGCAACCTGACTGCAACTACAGGTAGAAACAGCATGACTGCAACTACAGGTAGAAACAGCATGACTGCAACTACAGGCAGAAACAGTATGACTGCAACTACAGGTAGAAACAGCGTGACTGCAACTACAAGGTAGAAAAACAGCGTGACTGCAACTACAGGTAGAAACAGCGTGACTGCAACTACAAGGTAGAAAAACAGCGCGACTGCAACTACAAGGTAGAAAAACAGCGCGACTGCAACTACAGGTAGAAACAGCATGACTGCAACTACAAGGTAGAAAAACAGCGTGACTGCAACTACAAGGTAGAAAAACAGCGTGACTGCAACTACAGGTAGAAATAGCTTGACTGCAACTACAAGGTAGAAACAGCATGACTGCAACTACAGGTAGAAACAGCATGACTGCAACTACAGGTAGAAACAGCATGACTGCAACTACAGGTAGAAATAGCATGACTGCAACTACAAGGTAGAAAAACAGTGTGAGTGTAGCTCTACAAGAACAAGGAATAATTGGTAGAGGTAGCTCTACAAGTAGAAACAGCATGACTACAACTACAAAGAAATCAGTTAGCTATGAGGTAGAAACAGCAAGCACTGTAACTACAATGATATTATTAACAATGAGATATGAACCAGTAGTGGGTGGGGATCGATTGCTGGAATTGCCCACCTAAAAGGCAAAGCCACATGCAGCACTACCATGTGTAATTGGTACAAGGTATACTCTGTCTGCTTTCCATTAGAAAACCAAGTAAATAAATGTACTTACCACAGCTGAACTTATAAATTCATAAAACATACGATATATCCTACGTATAATACCATTGCCACCATAAGCCTAACAAATTGAATGCAGACGTAAATGTGTGATGTGTTATATCATATTTAATAAGTCTATTACATACATCATCATTAATTACATAACACTTTCTTAGCTTATTTTTTTGACCAAATAGACATAATTGCCTATAGGCTATAGTTCGTAAAAACAGGGCAAACAAAGGTCATAGCATCGTAGTGGCGTCAAACATCGCATGGGATCGACAAACGCGATAAATATTTTGGTGGGCATTACCATGCTTAATAATGTGCTGTACACATTTAATGATAGACAATTAAGTAAGTGAGGGTATTCGAAAGCAATATTCCTCTGTCGAAGATCGGCCGAAAGAAATTCAAGTTCAAAATCAAATTTTTGCGGCAGACGTTCGACGTGCGTTATTCATACATCTCACGAGATCTCGCAGTTGAACGGAAAATCACCTATTGTCCACACCTGCCACTTTAAAAAAAAAAAAAAGGAAATGTTCAGTGCTCACCACAGCAGTGCCATTTTTCACTTGCTCTAAGAAGGTTGACATTGTATTTAATGTAATTTCAGATACTGGTATCTCATTTCGGTAATAATGATATGTGTATGGATTTATTACAATCACATCGGGGGTAGATACAGAACTGAAATAAAAAGAAAACAGTTGTTATTATTCATGTTTAGACGCTAAAACCATCAAAAAGTTGGTGCTAAACCTTTCACAATTGAAAGCATTATCCTTGTAATTCTGCGTTAATTTTCGATCAAATCGACTAATCTAATTGGCTATAGTTCTAATTATATTTTGTGAAAGGTGCTGAAAGTTGACTTTGACTGTCATTAGAATTGTGCATGAATGAACTCTACTGTTCTTTATTGGGTCTACACCTTAGCTCATTCAAATGCAAGGATGACTTGTAAGTGATAACCCTGACTCATGGTCGTAACTATGGTAATAAGTCATAATCACAACAAGCCTTGAACTATGATTACCAAACCTGACACATGATTTGGTTTTGACAATGTTTAGTATTTATAAGCATGTCTTTAATGTGCAACGGATTTTAGCAGCTAAAAACTGGCTGCTATTTAAGTAAATATTCATGTTTTCACTTTAACTACATTTGTATGGTTTTATAAATTTATAAAAAAAGGCATGTCCACCTGTCCCAGACAGGCAGGTTTTAGCTGAGACAAGTAAATGTACAAATTGCCTGTCCCTGTGGATGGGCAAATAAAGATATCAAGTTTTTACCAACTGACCGAATGGGGTAGTCCGAAGTTGCTAATATCCAGAAAATTGCTTTCAGAATTTCCAAGACTTATCAGAGCATATAATTTTGATGTTGAAATCTTGACCCCCCCCCCCCCCTCCGTAATTGAAATTTTAATAGTGCAAAATAATGAGCAGCTTTCACAATGTGTATAATGCTTCACTTGAACTATTAGTGTGCTAGACAATTGTCAGTGTGTGAGTTTCCACTGTCATGACATGTGACCTGGCAGATTTTGCTACATTGTTGTTTTTAACTAAAATGTATATTTCACTAAAATGTTTGCACAGTGTGTTGTCTTTAATGTTTGTATGTAGTGCTGTGTATTTTATTTCATACTTTTTCATAATATTGACAAGTGCAAAATTAAAGTTCAGCATATGTATAATGCAAAACCGTCTTTAACATCTCTTCTGTGAAGCTTGGCAGGCAATATGAAAAAGAAAAGATCACTAAGCGTTTTCTTATAAATTTTAGTTCAGTCTGGCGTCAAATCATGGAACATGTTACCCCTAGGACAAATATTGGTACACATAACTGCCATTCTTTGGGTGAAACGGTGAATCAGAGCTGCTTATCCTTTTATAACCAAACTTAATTTTGAATAATTTTAGAAAAGCATACGGTACTCCTACATTATATATTACTTGTATTGCGATCGCAACATTTTTTTGTACACTGATGTAATAGAATTGCCATAGAAGTTGCTGACTGGTTTGCCAGGCACGTCCAGCAATCGTACACATGTGTGAATTTCATGTCATGACGAGTATCATTCATCAATAATACATGTACCATATTTGCTCTATTAGTAGTGCACACACTTTAATATAAAAATAACAGAGATTTTTCCATGGTGAAAATGAATAATATTTGAATGACCCAGTATATAGGCATAATTTTTTGTTGATATGGAGATTCTATTGGAGATGCACTTTTAATAGAATAAATACGTTAATACACAATTTTTGTATTTTTTGAGAAAGCAGAGGAAGGTAAGACAAATACCTCATTATGATATTAGAGATTGTCTCAGCACCATCCATCCAACAAAATTGAAAGTTTCTGTAAAATAAAAGAAATAATTTTATACAAATATGTGGTGATAATCTTATGGAGGTGTATTTCATACACTTTGATTAACAGACTGACACATCGCCAACTTTGGAAATTGCACGATAGCGACCTGAGCAAGATTGTCACATTTTATAGAGAGTAATTGATAAATATATGATGTTTAAAATGTGATCTCAATTGAGTTTCACCATAATGGCCATTATATTGGATACTTCTTAATAACAACATACATTTACTATTGAGTCAAAGAAAAAATCGAAATCCTGCCCGGACTGGCTGCATAAATTACAATAATTTTTTTTTACTAGAAGATGGTATAATGTACAAGTGGGAAGGGAACTAACTAATTTGGTTATTGATTTTAATTATTCTTTACTAATTTTATATTTACAATATTTTGCCAACCCTCCGCCCCCAAAGATGTTTTTCAGATGATGAATGCCCAGGAGGAAACAAAGCGATTTGTCTCCATATCTATAACAAACAACCATGACCATTTGACACTGGAACATGTCTAGTTTGTGACAGAGTTAGCTGTTGTTATAGTGTAAAGCTTACTTGTGATACGTGTCTCTATGATTTAATGCTAGTCTTTCTAACATTACTTTAACTCTGTCTTGTTTAGCTGAAACTCTTCTTTCCTTTTCATCTATCACAGCAATAACCAAAAATTTACCTGAAACATAAAATAAAATTCATTCTTAATAAAGTCCTCCAAGACCCCAATAAATCTTTAACCCTATAAGCACCAAAGTCAAGCACCGCCCAAAAAATAGTTACATTTATAGTCTGCTCTTATATTACAAAAAAATTTGATGACAATTTCAAAATTTTTGATCAAAAACTAGAAGCAATATCACATTTTGTCTGTTTGGTCTAAAATTAGGAATGAATTCAGTGAAAATGTCAACAAATTCGAGTGGGAAAAAAATTTGGCGCTCAATTTTAAAAGGTGAAGAATGAACTCAAAAGTGTCTCAATGATAGTCTCAATAATTATTTTTATGGGTTAGTGCATCCAAACTAATTCTAACAGAGATAATTTAAACGAAAGCCCAGTCAAGTATACCACAACGTTATGCTTGGAGAAATGACATACCACAAGTTTTATTTTTCTTTATACAACACAAGTTTAATTGGTGAAAACTTATACAAAACTGCATCAAACCAGTAAAAAGAAAAAACAAAATACAACTAAGCATTATGGGTATCCATGTAGAATCCAATCACATGCACACTTCTCAATTAAATGAGATGAGCATTATGGGTAGAGTGTGTCACAAATACATGTATTTGTTTCATTATCCATATTCAAAAAGAGTGGTCTATTTTTCTGTGGAATTTTCACTGTATAAGTGTCACGACCCGATGTTTGGAAGCAACGTGTGTTACCTCCCAAATGAAAATGACAAGGATTGACAAACCGAAGATTAAATCACTATCAAAATATAAATATATTTGTTCTGTGCACACAAGGTATCACTAGATTGTACAATATATGAACACTATGTACAATAAATTACTATACTTTTAATATTGGTCAAATACAACAATAATATAATATCACCGGCATTCTCGTAGTATTCAATTCGTTATAAATTGAGGCCAGGCATTCTGAACATCCCATATACTAAGTGCTACTGTGGTTTAGTACTTGTGATGTAAGTATCACATACAAAATAATAACAGAGCAGAGTAAAGTGATCTATACCTGAAGCCGCAATGGTATGTAGATTATCGCTAGTAAGTTTTACATATGCCTGCAATGATTCACTGCTGATCCATTCAGATAATGCAGAAGATGTTGGCAACCCATCAGGAGCTGTCAGGATGGAAATAAACTCAATGTCAATCACACCACATCAAAATGTATACACCCAGTACCTTCAGTTCCATTTCATTACATATCAGAGCTTATTAACAAAAATCAAAACCAGAGAACCCTTCGCTCAAGTAAGAAACATACACTTGCTGTACCTAGAACTCATCTCAAGAATTATGGTGACCGGTCATTCGCCCATTCCTCGCCATCTTTATGGAATCAACTACCAAATAACATCTGTTCTGCACCAAATGTTAACATCTTCAAAACCAAACTCAAATCTTACCTATCTGTGAAACTAAGTGTCATTGAGCATCACTGCGATGGATACTAGGCGCTATATTAACTTGTATTTATTTATTATTACAGACAAAAATGAACGGACTTGGATAATGACGCTTTGTATAGCTCCCCTTCCAACATACTTGGATAACAATGATGAAACAATGATCAAACTGTAATTTCACTTGCCTTCAAATTTGTAGTGTGTTTTGTCTTTAAACACCATTACTACTGGATCTTCCGTAATTTTCAAGTCTTCGGGAAGTATCTCAGGTTTCGCAGAACAGAAATAGTTGTGAATCAATTTGTCCTCTGCTATTCTCTTGAATTTTGCCTTTGGACGAAAAATTAGATAATGGCAATTGCAGGTTACAAATTTCCAATCAATGAAATGGATCAAAATATTATTATTATTATTAATATACATATAATATACAAGTAAAGTTTTGCACTACTGAGATTATTCATATGTTTCGTAAAAATGCAAAATGCAATACTGTAGGGTTCAAGTTCGAAGTATGTTAGACATTATAGTGGGTGTTATAATAAACTGGGCTAATGAATCATTTGCATAAATAATCTCTGTTTGCTACATTAGCCACAATGGGAATTATCCAAAATTGTTTTAGCTGAACTATGTAGCACCCTCTAGTGGTGATTTATGGAAATCTCATGAAAGTGTAAAATCAAACCGTTCTCTTTGAAGATGTACGAATTGGTTTTTTTTTCTCAGCATTATTGTTTTGTTTACTGCCCACACAAAAATACAAAAAAAAACTAGTCATACAATTCCGAATCTGTCATCTGGAAATGTACAAAGAGTAGCACTTACCAACACTGGGCAGTCTGGATCAGATCCAGAATATAGAAAAAATATATCATGCTGACTTTTGATATTATAGAACTGTCCACGACTTGTCAACTGATGTACTGCCGGCCTGAGAACACAAACAATTTTGAAACATTATTTACCATCATTTTTTCTGTAAAAATTTGTGTTACAACGATTTGCACATTTTTTTTTTTTTTTATATTTCATTTTGAACTCAAAGCATATATAAATTTGACAATGGCTACTGATGAGGATCAAAATTTGAGAACAATTCTTTGTTTTTTTTGATGTTTTGTGTGTTCTTGAGTCAATAGATCACAACACATATTTCTCATTCATGAGAAATTCTCAATTTAATTCTCAATCTATTTTGAATTCAATTTAATATACTAATGAAAATAAATCCATTATAGCTCGGCAATATGAACCATTATGTTTAATAACCTATAGCTAGCAGACATTATGAAACCCAAAAGCTCTGAACAGGATTCTGGTAGCCCGTACAATGGAAATAGTTTGTGTTTTAAATGAGCTATCATGCTGTGTGGTAATACGAATTCTGGATCTCCTTTGTCTTATGCCACACTATAAAGATACACACATTATAAATGTGATAATATGGACAATTGTGCAGTGGGCACATACCATTTTTTGAGTAGTAATCATTCTGCCAGAGATTATCTCAGTGACAAACTTTGTGCATATAATGTAATTTCAAAAACGTAAATCAATACTTTTAAGCCTGAAATTATATTATATGCACAAGTTTTGTCACAGTTTTGTAGATATGAGCATAATTTCAATTATATTCTCACCCTTTTGCTTTCTGTGCAAATTGTATAATATCTTCTTTAGTTCTTCCACCTTGATGTGTATAGACTGTATCACCACGTATACTGCAATCCAAAAAACATAATTCCAGGTTAACAAATTATGTAAATATGCAACTGCAATACCAAGATGCATTCTGGTACTTTCCATATCGTACATGGAAATTTATGATTATTTACTTTTACAAACTTGAGTTGATTATCATAGAACTATATACATATTGTATTTTACATTCAAACTACCTAAACTGCTCACAGTTTCACAGTTGTCGCAAAACGTCAAATTAGAGAAGAGTGTCATGCAATGTATACAGCCTTAATAAAAAAAACATTGATATGAAATTCAGACGCATGATCCACAGTGATTTCAGAATAGTGAAATGTAATGCAAGTACAATACTTGCTGTAAGAGATTTTAAATTTTAATATGAATATCTTGTACAGAAGAGGACATCAATGTTAAAACCAGTTGATTGTTTATCAACCATTGTTTTTCTTTATGTAAATCAACATTTTTTGGTTGTACAATATAGGAGTCAAAATTTAAAACAAAATACCACTCTGAAAAACTGAAATTATAGTTGGTCAATAAATTGTTTAAATTTTTAATCTAAACAAATATAACAAATTACTTGATTTTGTTTCAGCACAATGATAATACTGCACTTGACTATAAATATATTGCATAGACAGATTGTGAATTCTAAAAAAAAAAGGAAATAAAAAAAAATGGTTGCCCCATGGCAAAAATGGTTGCTCAGGACAACCGAACAGCTGCCAATTTCAAACCTCCTCAATATACATATGAATATGCATGTATGTATGAATTTGTTTTTTTCTCATATTTCATGAGTTTCAGTGCAGAAGGTTATTTTTAATTTAGTAAAAAAAGCAAATAACCGATGAGGGCGCTTTTTACTTTTCACATAATACAGGCATCACACTATGTATATAATGAGACAGTTTATATTTATCTAAATATCAATTTTTTTTTTTTAGCAGAGATATTTGTACACCATACAATTTTACAACTTACAATTTTATTGTTGGAAATCCTCTGACACCAAACTCATCAGCAACACCTATAAAAATTAAAAATGTTATGCATGATATGGTTTTGTACTATTAATAGAATGGAGTGATATGTGTATACATCATACAAGACTTATACATTAATTATTTACTGCGATTAAGTTTGCCTATAGTTTTACTGAAGTCTATCTCAAGATGATGTCAATTTATAATATGACTATTAATTTTACTGAAAGATCTATGAATTACAACCCAGGGGTCAAGTATGACAGCAAAATGAAATATACCGGTGAAAAATAATTGCTTTCATTCAACACACATGCGGTACTTCTCCGGTTATAAGCCCCGCCCTGGGTATACAAATGTAAGCCCACCTTTTATTTTTGGTAATCATGAAAGCCCACATGCATTTATGTATAAAATTAAAAATTCAAGCCATACGATACACATCAGATTTTAATGAGATTGGTAGAATTTTGAAGACCAGGATGACTTACTTGAGTATCTGGTGCAATCTATTTTAGCAACTCTAATATTGGCTCCTGAGTGGGAAAGAGAGCTACCAACTTCAGACCATACTGGAGCCAATCTTTTACAATAGCCACACCATGGAGCATAGAACTAAAGATAATGTTCATGATCAGGTTTGTGGAGAAAACACAATTAGAGAAAACAACATAACTATTACAACCTTTCCAATTGATAAATTAAATAATGATTACAAATTCAGGATGAATATAAACTAGACTGCAGCTTATTGTTATTACATTGGTGGTTACCTGACTCTTGACGATATAAATTAAATCAACGTTGAAGTATGTATTGATACTTGTATAATAACACTTTTTATTTTTAATACTACATATACTATATTAATCTCAAGGCCCTTTATAGAATAATTCAATGTTGAATAGCAAAAAAGTTCCTAAATAGTATACCAATAGGCCATAACTATGGAAGGAAAAAATACTTGTCAATTTTTGGCGAGAAGAATGAATTATGATACATAATGAAAATAATAAATGTATTTGGTCACTGCCTTACTAGTATGGAAGTAACAGATTGTGGAGTATTTACTGACATCTGGTTCTTATGATCAGCAAATGTCTTCATTCTGTGCACTTATTTATATGTCTAACAAATGTTTCAGTTTTACCACCTTTTCATAAATTTCTTACTAGTCCCTCCTTAATTGAACTTAAAGTGATTGATAAGATTTTCAAGTTTGAAAATAATGAAATAAAAACCGATCTGATCGAAGTTGATGTCTATGCAAAAAAAAAACAAAAAACAAAAAACAGTTTAATATAGATAATGGAAATGGAAATTACATTTTCTGAGGCTACACTTTCAATTGAAAGATTTCGTTTTATATAAATTAAAAACAAACTTTCCTAAACTCTTACAGCCTTACCCTTGATATTATTGGTAATAAATCTTGTTTAACCTTTAACCTTTGAATGACAAAAACCAAATATTGCAATCTTAAACCTGCATCAATTTTTCTGGATTTGCTTAAACATTGTTTATCAAGATCTGACATGTAAATTTGAGTAAATGTTGCACTAAAAGCTTTTTAACATCGTTTGTTAATTTTCACAAACTGAGCATCATTTTTGTTCATACATTTTTTATTTTCTGTAAAATGACATGTACTTTTCAGATTACACATGAATGTGGTTTACAGTTAAATTGTGAATATTTAAATAACATTCAGGAACTCAAAATGACAGTAAAAAAAAAAACATTTGACCAATCCCAGTAACTGTAAATTATAATTTTGAAATGATTTTGTGCAGAGATAGGAGTACAAATGAACAACTCAATAGCAAATCAGAACCTCATTTTAATTTGAATCTATATCTATGAATATTTACAGTTACCGGCATTCATAAATAAACTGAAATAAGTATACTCTTGCCTGCAACAAAGGCATTCCCTTCATCTTTATATAAATATTTATAAAATTCAAACTGAAACGAGGATTATCTATTGGCCGATTGAAACGCTTTGGAATTGCTCATTGATGGCTTGGTTTGATTCAACTGCCATTACAATTTTAAAATATTTATAAACATGAACTAAAAATCTCAAAAACAAAATACTCATTTATACTTTCATGATGTGTTCTTTACTATGGTGTATTTTTTGACAACAAGAATAAGTCTATATGCTAATAGCATTTTTGCTGCATCTGTTTATTTTTAGAGTCATGTGACCCCAAAACGAACACAAAAAAGTGTTTTTCAAGCCAAATGCTTTTGAGCATTATTGTTCTGGTTACAGCAGTCAACAATTTTCAAGCAAAAATACTATTCTCCTCCTTTATATACAAACAATTGTGGCAAGAAATATGACGTTTAAAGGTTAAAGTGCCACAGTGAAAATACTGCTTTGTATGTGTTCGAAGCTTAACGTGTAGGTTAGGGTAGATTGCATTTTGCAATTATGGTACAAGATATGATAAATTTAAAAAAAAGTGAAGGATGAAACAAAACTTACCTCCACTAGCCAGTTCGCTTCATACCTATCTTTCAAAAACCTGCCAAAAAATTGTCTTATTTTAATATATTAATAAAATGTATATAAAGGAAGATGAGCATAAGCTATTAACAGATGGAAGACTCCATATTTATGTTTCTATAGCAACTAAAATGCAGCCCTAGGCCCAAGAAACCTTTAGATAATTTCATGTGAATTAAAACCATTAAAATAAAATTATAAAAAAAAAATTAACTTTCCTCCTCATCAAATAATATTATGTTTCAAACAGAATAAGAGAAATATTTGTAAAAAATAACAAAATAATTAGCCGCTCCCAAAACACATTACAATAATAATTCAGTTTATTTTTTATAATTAGTTAATAAACCTAACCTTTTGAAACAACATAATAATATAGACAGTTAATCATATTTCGTTCTATGTCATCAAAATTAATCGTATTATTTAAAAATGTAAATAAATGTTTCTTGCCTGTCGTCCAGCTCGATCACGTGACATTGAACGCACTTTAAAATAAAAACACCTGAAAAAGGTATTTATCGCCAGGTTAAAGGATGGACAGAATTAATGAACGTGAAAGATGATGATGCTTCTTAGAAACGATAGTCAGTATGGTAAGCGTTAGTATCGATCTATGAAATGTATGATACCTACACATCATGGCGCAAGCATACAACGCAGCTTCCATTTTCGCCATTACTTCTTTCGAATGTGCTAATCAAACAGAACGATCATAAACATGCAACAAAGGACATCTGTCAATATATTTTGTCTCAAGCTTCTCCCTTCTCTGCACAACAGCGCCACCAATATAAACACCTTAACTTCTTCTGAAATTGCAATGCTGTGTCACCTTTTTCCCCCGAACCTTTGAATCTGAAAAAGAAATAATGGTATGAAGATGGTACTCAATAAAAGAGTTCTAATTCTACATATAGTGATATAACATTTGTCAGAGACAATTATTATTGTTAAAAACCTCTTGTTCGTCTTGTGACAATAGCATTACTAATATTCAGAGAAAAAGCATTTTGAAAGCTAGGTGGTATTAAATATTTCAAAATGGCTGCTACGAGCGTGCAAAAGGGGTCGGTAAGTAATTTTATCAGTTTCATGATGACATAGGCTGTTAAATCGATATTATTAGTATACAATGTGATAAAAAGTGGAAAAGTACAGGAACAAACAGAATGTGTCATTTCAGGATTGCCGTTCGTATCCAGGGGTTTGGCGAAGTATGGTTGTCCAGGGAGCTGTAATGGGTTGTCCAACAGGGTATTCATTTAAAAACTGTAAGGAGGGGGGGGGGGGGGGCTAGAGGAAATTGTTTTTCTCTGCATATTTTTTTAAATTTCTTCTTTACTTCAAAAATAAACCTCCAGCCCCCAGTAATGTAAGGTAGCCCTGAATTTAAGAGGACAGTCCCCACTATACAATATAACAGTCCTGAATACGCAGGTCCCGGGCACAGGCGGTTTTCACATTTATAGTCTGTGTTGAGATGAAATACGAATGTTATTATGTATGACAGCGACAAAATATTCACAGGTTATTATATATAGTCCTCCATGTCCTTAATAACCCATTCATATTTGGTCTTGTCGTCTATACCTTACTCGACCGCTATTAATAGCGCCCAGGGTCCTCAACTCATAAAATCAGGATTTTTTAGGGGTGGGCGCTTACCCGAGCACCCCCTCGGAAAAGAGTGCAACTGACAATTTTAATTCACCGTGTGACAGATTGAGGGGGATATTACGTCTTTGAAAGTTTGAGGGAGAATAAAATTACGAAATTAGGTACAATGTACATCGTCATTGACTGTTACAATGAAGAAACAGAAATATTTGAGTCTGTTGGAACACAGTCAAAGTCAAAATCTTCATCATTATCGACGAATGTGTTGGATCGTACGCAAACTCTCGATAAAAAACACTTTCTGCCATGATGTATTTGCATTTGACCTGCATCAACGTCCTTTGACCTAATGGGTCAAGTCTGTTATTATCCAATCAAAATGATTTGTGGTACCGACGCAATTCTTTGGAAATTCCCGAAGACTCTTGGGTAACGCACTGCGGAAGTGAATTATCGATGTCGAAGAACGATCTGTTGGAATTGATTTCGGTGAATAAACGACATTTTTTTTTTTTTTAAATGGTAACTATCAATTTTTATTGATAAACTGAATACGGCATGAAATTGAAATTTTGTTGAAATAGGTGAACGCATCGCGACGAAGGCAAGTGCATTAAAAGCGGCGTTTAATTGGATAACAAAAATAATCGAGATCGACACACATACAGATAAATTCAGAGTGGATTCGAGTTAGCGTGATTCATGGCATGGTAAACTGAATTATGGCATGAAATATTTATCGCATTTTACTTGTATTAACAGGTCATTGTCGAAGCGTAGTTTACGCACGGTTACCGTATTCTACGTATTCACAACATGTTCACAGCGATCGATATCCACGCTGTATCATATAAAAACGATTACCAAGATTCGTTACGCAAGACCAAGTTTTAAATTAGTTGCATTTTGAAGGGGTGGGCGCTTTGCCGAATGTGACCCCAAATATAAAAAAAATTGCAAAAGTGGGGGGTGGGCGCTTGCCCGGGCATGGGCGCTAACGCAATCGAGTACGGTAAATATAAAAAAAAAAAAAAAAAAAAAAAAATACATCACTTTTAACCATTTAAACCTAAAGTCAACTTTTTGAAGGATTTTGGATTTGGACCTGTAGCCAATGAGAAATTACATCCATTAAGTTCAAAATTAACAAAGAAATTTGAAAAAATATTGCAAAATAGTGCACTAAGAGCTCAGGAGTCAATAGTGCTGCTGTATGTGACATTATTGCCTACCATGGTCTGTGATGCATTTACCAGGGTTTTTTCTAGAAACAAACTGCAAGTGGGAGCACTGCAAATTAAGTGGAGCTACCAAGTGTGGGAGACAGGGTTCTCCCTACCAGCATGTAGAGCTTTTGATAGTTCTAAGTTAAAATGGAGCATTCTATGGCTTCCTTGGGGCCAAAATGACTATCAGGTCACAGTTGAAGACTGTGACCACATGTGATCCCTGGTCAATCAGAATTTTATGGTTGCCAGAGGATCTACTCTCCAGGGTAAGGGGGCCCATGGCCATTGCATGAGGGTGGTGGCCCCCTCTGTTCCCTTTTTTAAAAAAATCCCTGATTTACTAAGGTACAACTCATTTCTGCTGATGGGAAAATAGAGTGGGAAAAGAAGGGCTTGAAAATTTATGAAATTTCAAATGTCCTTATTCAACAGCTACAATTTACTTTCATTTTTTTTTCAGTGTCATATAAGTCCTTTTTTAATGTACATGTATCATGCTGTAAGTGATCTCTTGCATAGCTGACATGATGTGAACGGTAGTTTTTAGTCCTAACATTTTGTTTGTAGTTTTTATCATTTCCCCTTTTCCGGTATTCAAACTTTTGAAGTTAGCTGTACTATTTTCTAGACTATTGATTTGTTAATAATGTATCAACATATTTTTGATATTGTTACAGGTATTCACAATCAATTTTTTTTTCTGTTGTATATAATTAACATTTTATAGTAGTACATGTACATGTACATGTATTTTCATATTTATAAGTTTTAAAAAATATACACTATAAAAGTCTACAAAAGTTTACTGTAAATGAAAGCATCTCTATCAGAGTTTCAAGCAATCATTCAATGAGTGAGTTCAATCTGTTTTAGGGAATACCTTATTCATTCCATTAGAATCGCATCTTCATACAGAAGCTCTTATAAATTAAAAATTGAATTGGCTGTATACTAAATCAATAAAATATTACTTATTTAGAGCAAAGAGCATATGCACTGCTGATACGATATTTGGCTACTTTGTATCCTTCAGTGGCTGGGGTGTGAGGGTATTCACAACCTGTAACCCCATACATTTTTTCCTAGACACAACCACCCTCCCCAGCATTTTACAGCTGAGTGAAAGAGATACTTTCTAATAAAGTCCAAAATACATTTGTATAAGGCTGATTAAAATTAAAATACTTTCCATTGAGAAGTGAATGTAGCAGAAATGAGCTTTACTAGTACAGTCAAACCTGTGTTAATGACCACCTGCCTCTATAATGACCACTTTTAGACAATCTCAGGGCATTATAACCTGTGTATAAAGATTACTGTCTTATATGACCACCACTTCAGCAATACCGGTATATTTGCAGATTTGCCACTGTCTAGGGACCAAAATACTAATTATCATAGTACAATTTTTAATTTTCACAAGTCAAACTAGTTTGATTTTGATCAGCTCTAATAAATGTGTTGTTACAACAGTACTATTTCATTATTTCTGGAAAAAAGTGTACAAGTTAGTGATCCATAAAAAAAAATAATCCAACTTTCATATAAAGACCACCTGTCTATAGACATTTTAATTAATGGAGTTACTAGTACTTGGGAGGTCGCTATACACAGGTTTGATTGCAGTAACAAACGCGGGATAAAACTGGAACCAAAATGACACTTGAAAATATAGACTAACACAACACCATATGCTTTGGATCAACACCCTTCATCAATGAGATTAAAGACAAAAATTGCACTGTCAGTTGACCTGAAACGTCTGGTGTTATGCCAGTCTATATTTTCAAGTGCCATTTTGGTTCCAAAGTTTCAGTGGATTTATCCAATATTTGTTATTTTTCATTTTATTTTCATGACTCTATGTTTTATAGGAATTTGTAAATATATTTATTAGTAGTTCATGGGCAGAGTGTTAGGTTCAGTACCAGACATGATTTACAAATGAAATTTCCACATGAATCCACCTCATCTTGCACAATGTAATTTGTTTATCATATTTATCTCCAGATGTCCGATTCTAGTGTACAAGTTACATATGAAGATCAACAAAAAATTAATAAATTTGCCCGTAAGAATTCCAAACTAAGTGAATTGAAGGAAGACATTCAAAGTAAAAAGGTAAGTTACATGCTAGATGTATATGATTGAAACCACCTATAAAGCTCACACAGTTTATAACTTCTGTAATCTTTCACAAAACAAACACAATTTTTTTCATTTTTTTTTTTAAAATTTGGATCTCTAAAGGAAATAATTTTGTTTTGGTCTGAAATTATCCAAAAAGTTTTAGAAAAATGCATTGAATTATAGGCAAAAAATGTCATCCAAATTTGTGCTGGAAAAATTATAGTGCTCAAAGTATTGACCTGGAAGCAAATGTACCCAAGAACAATGAGGAAAAAAAAAGATAATAATGTACAAAATCATATGAACATTTCTGGGTATTTCTTTGACGGAAGAAATGCATGTACTGATACATCACAAGATTACATGAGTTAGAATGCCTGAAAATGCATACTGTAAAACCATTTATTTTCACTCGCAATTAATTTTACTATTTTGATCTTTTGAGCATATTCACTTTTTAATTTCAGACATTTGTCAAGGAAAAAATGACTTTTATTGTTATTTGACATGTTCGTGTAGATTTAACTTTATAGCGGATTTTTTTTTTTTTTTTTATTTATTTATTTTGTGAAATAACAAGACCACACACAAATAATGGAAAAAAACAACAACAAAAAACATACTTAGCGGATATTACTTATCAGCAAAAATAGTGAAAATAAAATCCAGTGAATGATACTGCATTTACAGTACTTGTAATGCAGGGCTACCTATAGGAAGATTTACTTGGTTTTGTGTTTACTAACATACAGCAACTATAAGAACATCAAAATAGAATGAAAACAGTTTTTAATATCCTAGTCATTTGTATTTCAGAAAGAACTACAGAATCTACAAGATGCTTCAGATGACTTGGTACTTCTAGATGATTCAGAGCTTGTTCCATATCCTTTAATGTATATGTACTACAATATTATAAACTTGTCATAGAAGATGTGATAACTGAATTCGTAATCGCATTCTGTCTTGCATGTACTGCCAATTTGAAACTCTGGCATCCTGGGATGATAATATCCAAATACCTCCAAAATATGAAACTCTAAAATGGACCTATCACAAAGGCTTGCCATCTTGTCACTTCTTTGATTGCTTATTGTCAACACCTCTGATGATAGGTTTACAAAAACTGTTTTTAATGTTGGGAGATTGAAAACCCAGCCCTTTTGTGTGTTATTTACAACTATAAATGTAATTGCATTGATCGTATTTCAAATATACAACGTAATGATTAAAAGGCGATGATTGTCACAAACGTTTGTGTTCGATATGGGTTTCATACTATGTTCCTTAATGATTTTTTTACGTATCAGATTGGTGAAGTATTTGTCAACCATTCAATAGATGAAACCCAGGAGCTGATTGAAAAAGCAAAAGCTGGCATAGAAGCTGAAATAAGGGCACTTGAAGAACAAGTGACAAAAATTCAAGCACTTTTACAAGAATTAAAAATACAGTTATATGCTAAATTTGGTAAAAATATCAATTTGGAAGCTGACGAGGAGTGATGTATTACATGTAGTGTACTGTATTTACTCTATTAGAAGCACATCTAAGGTACATGTACCATATTTGTTCGATTAGGAGCACAACCTTTCAGTCAACTCTTAACATACTGTATTTACTCTATTAGAAGAAGCACATCCCCAATAAAGGTACATGTACCATATTTACTCTATTAGAAGCTCATCTCCAATACAAGCGTAAATAACCCAAAGTCATATTTGCAGTACTGTGAAACATTAAATTAACTATTTTGACCTCAGAAACACCTCATAATTCATGTAGGCATATGCGCTTGTAATAGAGCAGATATGGCACTCAGTTTTACAATAAAAAGCAAGGAGGTCTAGGCATACCAACAGTACCTCACAAATATTTATGCATATTTTACCATATTGGTGTTTTTGTGTAAAATTTAAAGCAGGTTAACGTCTGATCCTACTGATTGACTTGTGTGAACACAGAAGAAATCAAGCCCAGAGTTACTAAAATAACATACCAGGTAATAACAAACAAAAAATGGTTAGTTAGTTACTGGAAATAAATAACCATTCTGTCCAAAGCTTAAAAACTGCAGGTTTTAGTATCCAATGGTATTTGTCAAGAGTATGTCAAGGCAATAATCACTAAAACCATCCTCCAAATATCTATCATGTCATTGCATGGCACATGAATGATTGACACACTACAAAATCCTGAAAAAAATTGCATTCATTTGGCTAATTTTTTTATCACAAGGTGGTGTTCATGGCTTACAATAAACTCAACATCGACCCATCTTGCATACACTGGTCATTTAGTTCCCTTGTGACCAAAATATGTGTTACAAATGTCAGAGTTTATGTCCTGTACTGTACTGTATTTCAGTTTCCATGCTAATCTTGAGAAAGAAAGTTTTATATGGTATCCGTCACATCTTGTAATCAAACCAAAATGCTTCTAATAGAGAAAATCCATTGAAATCCATTTCTAGTATCAATGTTAACTCGTCAGCTTGTTTTTTTTATTTTGGTAATTGTTATTAAAGCTTATTTTGTAAATATACTATTTTTTTTCTGGAAATTAAATGTACTGCAAGTTGTATGGGGAAACTATGCTGGTTATAACAGATGTAAGATAATAAAACCAACATGGCCGCCAATCTGCTATTGTGAATCAAATTACAAATGTTTGAATTACATATTTTTGCATGAAAATGGCTGCCAGAAAACTTGTTCAAACCATTGCCCCAAATTTTAACAAAATTGGTAAGTGTATCAGGTATAACAGGATGCCCTCCCCCAGTCAGCCATTTTGTAACTACATGCAACCCTAACCCACTGTGAGCGATGTCAATACAAAGTTAGAAAGAAACAGTTGTCATGTTGGGAAATATTTTTTTGGCCAACCATGAACGTACATATGTATACCAATATGTCTTGTCTTTATACTAACGAGAACAGTTCAGGCATGTCCGCAACAAGTCTTGGCTTTGGACAAAGTCTAATGGTGACTAATAAAAAAAATATTGCCATTGTATCTTTACAATGCATTGTGATTTTATTATTTGATGGTATAAAAATTCAGGAAAAATTTACATGACTATATCAGCTGTAAATAACATGCATATTCCGGTTATAAAAATATGGTGACTGCATTGCACCAAAATTGTACATACACTTTAGCCTCAATTGTAGAAAGACAGGAGAAAATGAAGAAATTAATATTTAAAACATGATTTCGTCCCACTCCCAATCAGTTTGACAATATATTCTAATAAATATGACCAATATACCATAAAATCTGTATTAGAAGCCGCATCTCTATAAGTGTCACCCATTCTTTTTGAGCAATTGAGTACCAAACATTCACAATTTCCCGTACGTGTAGATGCTCTAATAGAAGCCGCAGCTTCTAATACTGATTTTACAGTACTAGTTTACACACACTCTCTTGCATTATATATTGTATGGTTATTATAAGCCTGCCCCTCATTCACAACAAGCTTTATACATGTAGAACAATTCCAAACATGCCACTATGTTCACTCATTGTAACAGAATGCTTGAAATTGCATGTAAATTCGTTGTCAAGTCACTGCTTAAAATTATAAAAAAAAATTAGAAATTTGGGTAATTTTTTTTTGGTAAGAAAATAAATTTTCAGTCAGTTAGTGTACCAGATAAACACAAAGTGTAAACATTATTCAGCCTTTTAAACAATTAGTCCCAAACAATATGGGGGAACAAATGTATTTAAAATTTTTATTTTTTTTGGATTACTCTTAATTAAATGAATAACTATGAGAAAAAGTTTAATGGAGTGACCCAAGCTGGCCTCCTGAAAATGACCATGAAACAACGTTGTACTGTGACCGCGAGAAAGAATGGAACGCAATATTGAAGTACGAGTCACTGTTTTGCTAACAAAATAGCTACATTACCGGTACACAAAATGTTGCCAGAGGAAGCAATGGCCACATCATGAGCAATATAGCTACCGTATATCATTAGCAAAACACTGTCTTATGCTGCAATATTGCTATTCCATTCTTCCGGTCACAGTGAAGATTACAATCACGCTTTTTATTTTCAAGTTCTGATTGGATAGTATTGTTTTAACGACTTGCTGGACACAATGCTGCATTCTCGCCCAGCAGTGTGATAAGAACTGTTTTGTTGATGATACTCTTGTCTTAACACTAGGTGTCACTGAATCTAAATTCATCTACACCATACAATATTGTATCATGGTAAATGGGCGAAGTGTTTAACAATGTGATGAACCAACAAACTATACACATGCATCACTCAACTGAATATCGGTTCTACCCTTTCATTTCCGGTCCATTCCTAACTGAATAATGTGAAAATTGATGGACTCTACATAACAGTTGTGGTATGCAATTCACACAATTTTAAATACAGAAATTTTGGCTCAAAGAACAGCAGCCAGCACCTTTCACGTTAGGCCAAATGCGAATTACCCGGTACATACAATACCATATATCAACTAGATATGTATCAAATCACACAAAGTGCGACAACTGCTCGCTAACAATTTATCTTTGCTATCATACCTTGGCATATTTTGTAAATGTTATTTTCCTGCTATGAGTACTCACCAACACTAAAAAATACATCCAGAACTCGTATTTGTTTATTAGTTTTCACCGGACATAAGGAGATTCGTTTGGTTTTACACAGAGTCATCAAATGTGGTATAGCTCAGTTTTTCAACTAGCATTGTCCAATATGACTCCTATGAGAATGTGAGTAACGTAGAAATTTACTTTCTATTACACTACCTGGAACGCCAGTACAATGAATATAGTAGAAAGCAAAATTGAGTGAAAGTAACAATGGTGGTTTAAGTCATAATTTTGCCTTACACATAAAAATCCAATATCTAATGATTTCAAACTTAAGTTTGTTACCAGTCAGCATACAATTTTGATTTGTTGTAAGTTTGGTATATTTATGTACATAATTGAGAAATGATTACAAAACATGACAAGTATTGCTAAATATCACCCACCAGTACAGTCATACTGTCAGAAAAGTAGGTCAATTAGTGTCCAAATCTTCTACACTTTTTTGTTAATTATAAGGGCAATAATTAAAGTTTCTCAAAGTTGCTACCAGCTCTCCTCAAACAGAAGGTACATGTAATGCCTGAAACGAATATTTCTACCGCACTTTCTTAGCAAAGACAGTCTAACATTTGCTGGTTTAATTTCACTTAGTAATTTTGTGTGAATATAATATTGTACTTTCTGAACCCTGTTGCTATAAAAAAAACACTCAAATGAAAGTACATACCATTCCATGTCAACTTTTCCCAGTATTTATTCTGTCAGGACAGTTGTCATTTGTTGATGTGAAATGTTGAAATGTGCCAAAATTGAAACCTTGAAAAGTTTAATATGAAGGTAGACACTGGCCCATTATAAAATGAGTTACATACTACCAATAGTTGATGTGGTCTTTCAATAAATACATGTATCAAGAACATACATTGTATATTGGTATGTTTAGTTGTGTAGAGAAAATTTATCTATGAAATTTATTCAACCATAAAAAAACTGGTTTTGATATTGATGTGGCTGACACACATGTTAAGCCTGTAACTTGAGTTATTTTCTATGAAAGGATATGAAACTTTTTGAATTGAATTCACTCCATGTGTATTTTATCCAATTTTCAATTCCAAATGGCTGTAAGAGTTTAATACTCCCACTAGTTCAAGAACTCCCTCCCCTATTTTCCATTTGCTTTTTTTGTGTGAAGAATCTTTAAGCCAAAGGTCATCACTTGCGTTAATGTAGTACAGTACATGTAGTGGTGGTGAAAACTTTGTCAAAGGGTGAATTTTGACTTCAGATATCCTGAGATGACCAATAAGAAAACAAACCCCAGTGTTGAAAGCATGAAGCATACTAGGATTGAAGTGTTCAGCATTAGTGTTAATCAAGTAGTGTGTGAAATGCATGCAAGTTATGATACAAAAGCCTTCCCCACTTGTCAGCACGTGCTGTCAGTCTGGTTCGACAGAAGTCGAGTTGAGTCACTCTCAATCGGAAGCTGATTATTATCATCATCACCGCTGCTACTAGCGTTGATGGATACATTATCATCAGGTGCTCCGTCATCATTGTCTATATCTGCAGCAGAAGCATCATCACAAGATGCCGCATTATCGTTGGCGTCTTCCTCACCGAACTCCGCTCCAGATATGATGTTCTGTAACTGCTGAACATTAGAAACTGCATCTGCAATTTGCGGGTCAAGATTTCGAAGATGTTGAGCATCATGATTAGTTTCAGTATCAGTATCAACATCACCTTCCTCATCTCGATGTGTTGCACTCGACTCTTGATCACAGTTTTCAACAGGGTTCTCATCAGCGACACTGATTACTAATGCACGTGACCGAGGTCGCCGTGGTCGCCTGGACCGCCTGGCACGTGACAGTGCATGAATCTGTTGCATAAACGCAGAGGTTGCATGATCTCCTGGCTCTGTGGAAGAAGCAACAGTTTCGGCATATGTCGGTGGAGCTTCACGGCGCATAAATTCCTGTTCAAGTCTTCGCATTGGTGAGGATCTTCCATAAGGGTGCTGCTCACTGAGCCGCAGAGCATACAACTTGCATGTACATCCTAGGGCTATGACCAATAATAATCCACAAACTAATGAGCCAATCACTGCGGCAGTAATCACACGAGTTGAAAGTATACCTTAAAAACATATAAGGAACAATATTATTCACTTTGAACTGGAAAGTAAAAACTCAGTAACTGTTGTATGTAACTGAACCTATAACATAATTAGATGCTTGAATGAAGTCTAACAAATTACTGGTTTGAATGTATAATGAAGGCAATTCCTATTTATTTTCAAATTATAAAATACAGTCAAACTATCTCTATATAAAAACCACCTGCCTATAGTGACGCAAGAAAATAACACCAAACACATGGCGGATAAATACTACCTATGTTGAATGAAAGTAATCATGTACTGCATGTGAGACTCGAACCTGTGATTGAACCTGGCACCAAAGTGTCTAGTTTCATGTCACAGCATGTTTGCTGCTCGCACACCAAGCATCACGAAAAAAGAATGCTTAATAAAAGTACAGAAAGTGTGAAACCTTTCCTCATCAATGGTGACCATTTTTAGACAGTGCAAAGCAACCTGTGTACTGGTATATGTATATGTATGTGTATGTGTATACAAGACCAAAATAATAATGAGCATTTTGTTTATAAAACAATTTCTAATTCCCTGAAGTCAAACTTATTTGATTTTGAACAACCAGCACAACCAGTTCAAATGAACTTTTGAGAAAATCATGACATTTTTGAGTTGGTGTTCCATTAAAAAATAATTTGAATTCCATATGAAGACCATTTGTCTTTAAAGTGCATTCCTCTGGGTGGTCACTATACACAAGTTTGACTGTACCTATATTCAAGGCTGAAGAAAGGACAACCAAGCTACAAGGTAGTTGGCAATGAATAATTTGCAAAGAAAATGAAATTAGCCAAATCATGCCTGAGAATAAATAAGAGCACATAAACCAAATATTGGATTTATACAGCATCAATTCATTCATTGTACAGTTGTCAAATTGGATTCCACTGCGAAATGAAATGATGTGCACATGTATCCCATCTCGTAAGTTGCTGTATGTATTGAAATTAAATAGAAAAGAACATTGTATCCCAGAGAAGTTGAAATGTACATAATACACTGGAACAGATTACCAAAAAGCAATTGATGCCTACATATATATTTCAAAAATTTAATGAAATCGACCAATGTATACATTGTATCAATGAGTTTAATGGCCTTGGAATCTCTCTTATAAATAAATGTCATTTTTCCCACTCCATCACTTAGAATTTATTTTTGCTGAAGGAATGAATCAGTGCAAATAAAATCCAGTGAAAATACCCCTTTTCCTATATTTCACATTGAACTTCATGCACAACAGCTAAAATGTTTTTGTCGCGGAAATTAATTCCAAGTAAAAGTTCTAAGTTTTTATTTACAGACTTGGTTGTGAGACCAATACACAGGACTTACCAGGACAATAATTCTCATCAGACCCATCTCCACAGTCATCGGTGCCATCACACTGCCAGGATTCAAATATGCATTGTTTGTTACCGCATAGAAATAATCCTCTATCGCTATTACAGATAAGAGCGTTACAGTTATACTCATCAGATCCGTCAGCACAGCGTGGTTTACCACTGCAATGATCATCCTGACTGAAACAGTTTTTACCATTCCAGCAAGCAAATTCATCACTCTTACAATCACCTGTGTGTCAAAATGACAACGTTAGTGAAAATCTGAAGGTGAATACATAAATTTGTAATTTCCACAACAGTGAATCATAAAAATATTGTTCAAATACATAATGGCACTACCGTATTTACTCTATTGGTAGTGCATCTCCAATAGAAGCGAATATAAACCAAAAATTGCATTTGTTTTATACTGAAACATTAAAATATGAATATTTTGATTATAGAAACACCACTGTAATTTAAGTAAGGCACATACGCTACAAATAGAGCAAGTACAGTATATGCAATTAATAAACGTTATTTACATGTAAATACAAATTGTGTTGTATTTATACCATACAAACAAAATCAGAGTATCATACATGTAGTGGAATAGGTGATTTTCCGAACAATTGCGAGATCTCGCGAGATGCATGAAAGACGCGCGTCGAACGTCTGCTGCAAAAATCGAACGATTTGATTTTGAACTAGAATTTCTTTATTTCGCAGCTTACATTGACCGGCCGATCTTCGACAGAGGAATATTGCTTCCGAATACCCTCACTTAATCGAAATTGCCTATCATCAAATGTGGACAGCACATTATTAAGCATGGAAATGTCCCCGAAATACTTTCGCGTTTGTCGAATCCCACGCGATGTTTGACGCGACTACGACGCTATGACCTTTGTTTGTCCTGTTTTTAACGTTCGATTTCACGCATAACGCGTGATTCTCGCAGTGTACGGAAAATGGTCTATTCATTTAAAGAAATTTGTTTACACTGTTTTGGCAACTCAACACATTTCCACCTATGCCCCTCCTCCTACTGAAGGACAAAACCAAGGATGTCCATTAGTTTTTGAGTGACTGTTATGAATGTGAATGGTTGGATAGCCAGCATATGACAGAAACCTTGTAGAGCTAAGTTTAATGAAACGCTAATATATCGCTAATAATGTACAAACTCTAAAGAGTTCGAAATGCAATGATATCATTATGTCCAAATATGGACAACAGGTTACATTATCAGATACTGAATATATTTGTAAGATATTTCCACAGAAATGTACATTTTTGTGTACTTTCGTTTGTCCTTGTTTTTTCTTAGACAATGGTTTAAACAATAACTGAGAATTTAAAGAGAATTATAATATTATAATCATTGATCACAAATAATATATATGCCATACAACAAATTTCATTTCTTAGGTTTGCTATGATAGTGCATGTAAAATTTGATTTATTTTTATTTTTAGAGAAGCTTAGATATGCCAAGTTGATTTCTGGTCAAGATACTGAATAATTGTAACTTACGGCAGCCCAACTCATCTTCCCCATCTGTACAGTCAAAATAGTCATTACATCTTGCAATCTCTGGGTCATAACAGTTACTTTCATCACCACATAACACCTGCGTATCGAGACAAATACCTACAAAGCAAATACACAAGTACAAATCATTCATAGTGTACACAGTCACAATGCATTCAGGAAAAACAACAATACTGTATTTGCTCTATCAGAATCAACCATAAATTGTTTTTATTGCACATTGAATCAATACAAGCAGCCTCTCGGCTGAGATAGCTCCGCTGTTAGCAATGCACATTTCAATTAAAGAACAGAAGATATCATTAGAAAATGAACAATATGCATAGTATCAATGCAATGGGACTTGCTGTTTTCAACAAGAATTCAAAAATATCATTTTTCACCATAAATGATTGTGGTTTTTAACAAGAAGAAAATATCACTTTTTACCAAAAATGACAAAAATATTCACCAAAATTAGAGAATTGTAGATATCATTACAAAATGAACAAATCTGAGAGAGATCCACATGTAGTACCTATATATGTAATATCAAAGCAATTGGAGAATTGAAGATATGATCATGAAATGAACAAATCTGAGAGAGGTCTACCCAAGGTATACACCAAGTATCAAAGCATTCAGGCTTGTAGTTTTCAAGAAGAAGTCGAAAAAGTAAAACATTGACACGGACAACGACGGACAATCACTCATATGATAAGCTCTGCTCGACAAAGTCAACAGCGGAACTAAAA